CGTGTAGGGTCCCGCAAAGCTTTGCCACGGTGCCTGCACGCGCGCTGCGTTTTTATGGGAGAAAGCTCTTGCAGATGTCAGGAATTAAAGACTGAAATGAATAGGGCATAACAAGCCCTGAAACATGACTTTGTGTCTGCAAATAATAAGGAATGAGTTACAGTCTTGGAAGAGCAGGAACATTACCCTCTGTGCGGGGTCCAGCCTGTCCCTGATGTTGATTAGGTGCCCTCCTCACACTGTCCTCTGCATGGAAGCTCTGCTTGAAGTGTATTGCCTACAGATGGGTTTCTCAACCTTTTCTAACCCAGGGATGGCCAAACCTTTTTGGTGGGAATCCAAGGATCATTTTGTTCGGAACCGCCACATGGTTTTATTTACAACCCATGCGAATTAGGCAAACGTCTCGCTGTTTGTCTCTTTTATTTCATCCTCTCGCGCTTGCTTGTGTGCATAGGAATGTGCGCGTGTGTGCTTAGGAACAATTTTGCAGACCGCTTCCTACTGTTGTTGGGCTGCAGAGCAGGTCCCGGACCCAGCGCGACAACGGGCAGCAACAGGCCCCTGTCCTTATTTCACATCACAGCTCGGTTCCCCGGGCAGGTCCTCCTGGGGAGGGAGAAAAGCGCTGGGCACTGCCGAAGCTGCTCCACCATCTCCTGTCATGCCAAGGTCAGCACCCTAAGGATGGAGAAAATCCTTGAGGACCATCAACATCCCCATCCTCACCATGAGACCAGCTTCAGCCTCGGGCTTCAGGGCTGTCCCTGTTCATTGACAGCACATGGCTGAAAAGTAGCCTGAGCCCGCAGTGCTGGGCTGAGTACTGCCTAGCTTGTCCGCCAAGCTCATCGACTGGGGCTTCAGCTCCTCCATCTCCTGCCTGGAAGTGCCTGGGTCCCCCTATTTCTGGAGGAGACACCCGCAATGGTGTCCTTGGGTCTGGAGATGTCCCCACTGACCGGCTTCTTGGCTGAGGAAGCGCTCAAAGGCGGCTGCACCCCCTTTTGACAAACCAGCTGTCCCACGGTCCCCGGCAGGACTTTTCCTCCCTCCCTGGGGGGAGTCGCGTGGACTGCCCGGACCCTCGCAGAGCCAGGACTGGCCTCGACGGGAGACTTCCCAAAATCCAGCCACTCGCACGAGTCCCCGGCTCGGGGCAGTGCTGCCAGCTCCCCAAGCCACG